CTGTGATTGAAAGCCATGGTTGGCAGATTTCTCAGAGACTCAAGTTGCGAGACTCGGTTTCTGCTGACTTGATTGCCTGGGTGGTTTAAAGGGTGGTTGTAGGGGCTGCAGGGCCCCAAGTCAGTCGATCAGAGGTTGTCCGGGCAGTGACTCCTAAGTCAGGTAGTTCCAGGCTTTGATGAACAAAAGTCGGCTGACTCAGTAGTCCCAAAGACTGTCAAATCTCAAGATATGCTGGTAATGTTTCTAGAAGTTCTCACCATCCTAGGACCGGAGCACACAGGACGAACAGCCAGACCCCAAAACCAGCTTAATCATTTCAACCACACCTGCTTATTAACATGGTCAACATTCCTTAGTAAATACAGAATAGTGCGAGGGACTTTAAATGTTTTTTTCTTTTTTCAAGGAAATAAAATTGAAACTACACCTAACAATCACAATCATTTACAGACATTTCAGATATAATAAAAAATAAAAACCTAGTTGAAGGCAGTCTGGTTTTTCTGAAGTCAAATGGATAGTTTAGTTGCAGCTTGAAGGGATAGGTTGGAAACAACATGTTTTTGAGACTTCTACTGAAGCTATGAAATCTCTCTCTCTCTCTCTCTCTCTCTCTCTCTCTCTCTCTCTCTCTCTCTCTTTCTCAAACAGCTTAAGCATAGGCTTAAAATGAACTAAGTGGTCTTTCTAGGAAATTGTCTATTTTTCAGAGGAAGAACAAAGACCCCTAGGAACAACAATGACCAGGTTGTGGCACTCACGGAACACTGTCCTCTGTGAAGTTGAAATCTGAAGTAGATCCTGGACAGGCTCATTCAGCTTGATATGTGCAGCCTTCAATTACCCAGGTCTCATATCTCTCTTACTATTTTCAGTCCTCAGAGTCTAAAGCCTTTCTTTATGCCTGGATCTTTTGTTACCTTCATGCTTACAACTCAAAGCCTATGCAATATTTTATTCAGTATTTTGTGAGAGAGATCTTTAAATACACAAGGAATTATAGTTTATCTGCGACCCTTAGGCCTGGTTTTGTTTTGGGTCAAACATTCTTCTAAGTGGTATAGCATTGGTCTGCCCATTTGCTGTACAGAGGTAACTCGTGGTCACTCTGATGCTAAATACTGTGACACTGATGGATCAAATGGGATAATGGTTACTTACCCATGTGGACAATGTTTGGTGGAACTCGCGAATTAAAACAAGCTTGGAAGCAGGAGTGACATCCACTTCCAAAATTGCTTGCCTCCAGAAACTCTCTGAACTTGGAGAAGGGATGAAAATGATACAATTGTTCAGGTCTTTCATTCATTCATAAGGTTGCTAAGAGTCGTCTAAGACTCGATGGTACTTAACACCACCACCAACAACATAGAGAGAGCTCTGTGGGCCTGCTAGATAGAAAGTTATGCTCCCAAGTCAAAGGGGGGTAATTTTAATCTGCAGCCCTCAACTAGTTTTAATTGGTTTTGGTCAAACATTCTTCTAAGTGGTATAGCACTGGTCTGTCCATTTGCTGTACAGGGAAACTCATGGTTGCTGTGGTGCTAAACATTGTGACACTGATGTGTCAGATGTGATAATAGTTACCCATGGTGGACAGTGTTTAGTGGAGCTCCCCAATTAAAACAAGCTTGGAAACAGGAGTCGCATCCACTTCTGAAATAGTTTGCCTCCAGAAACTCTTATGAACTTGGAGAAATGATAACAGTTATATAATTGCTCATGTCTTTTGTTCATAGGGTCGCGATGACTCAACGAAACTTAACAACAACAAAATCATTACCTATAGAGTTTATTCTGTCTGATAGAGATGGGAAAGAATAGATTTTCCAAGTCCACAAATATTTACGGAAACATATTGTCATAGTGTTTTCCTACAGACCAGCTATGGATTTGAAACGCTGAGTACTTAACCACAGCACCAGCACAACTTCTCAGTTTAGAATCATGGCATACTGAAAGTTCCATTAAGAGTGTACTTAGTCCAGCCTCTTGACTTTAAAAATAAGAATTCCTTTTTTCCCCCTGTCTTTTAGAGGAATAATCCTCCCCCACCATGTTATTCCATGAGGTGTAGATGAAGTTTATTAAACCCTCACTTCTAAAGTGTCTGAGAAGAGTCCATATCCCTTGACCACAGTGACTGTTTTAAGAATGAGCCTGGAGAAATATTGTATAAGACCATTATTGTACAACGAGTACGAGGATCCAAGGAGGGAAGCAGGAGCAAAGGCGTGAGGATAGGCAGGACAGCGTTGGGGATGGGGGAAGGGTTCTTAATCATAGGGTCAGACAATTTGATGGGTGGAGGGAGGGGTGGGTAAAGGAAAGGGGAAAGATCCAGTGTGAAAAACAATGTATAGGAATTTTGTAAGTAAACCAGTATAAATTTTTTAAAAAAAATTAAGAAAAGAACGAGCTTGAGGTCTGACCTTAGCCAATGAGAGCCAGACTCATTTGACGGAGTTGCCACCAAGGTTCTGACTAATGTATCCATAGCCTTTTCATGAAAGGTCACAGCAAATCATTCACATAGTAAGATTTTCCTGCTACTTAATCTCACAATTTAGTGTAGAATGAGATATTGACAGATCATTTTTGTAAAAACATTAAGAGCATACATTCAATGAATATTCACTGAGAGTCTACTCTATGCTTGGGATGTAATCTTCAATGAAACAGTCATGATCCTGGTGGCACAGTGTTTACAATGTCTAGGTGCTAACATAAAAGATAGCAGTTGGAACACGTTATGTAGCCAGGGTGATCCTTAGAGGGAAAGAGGGTGAAACTTCAACTCACATACTTTGAGGATGTTGTAAGGGGGGGATCAATTCTTGGAAAAGAACATCATGTTGGAAGAGTGGATGGTCAGTAAAGGCAGGAAAGACCCTCAACAAGATGGATTCATGCAGAGACTATAACAGTGGGTTCAAGTGTAGCAGAGATGATGAGGATGGCACAAGACAGGGCAGGGTTCAGACCTGTGAGCAGTTAACTTGAGGGCACCCAACAACACCTAACATCTTTATGCTTGCATAAAGTTCCCCCATCTATAGGGTCTCTTTTCTATTGCACTGTTACATGTATCCATCATTGTGCTGTACCACATTATTTTGATTTCTGTGACCGTGTAATAGGTTTTAGGAAACATAAGACTGCCGCCTCCTCCTCCGTCTCCTCCTCCTCTTCCTCCTCCTCCTTTTCCTTCTCCTTCTTCTTCTCCTCTCTGTCTCTGTATCTCCCCCCCCCAGTTCCCTTTCATTCACAAGATGAAACATTATTCTTTCCATTGAGAGTAATTATTGGGTATTGTCATTTTATATATGCTTTCAGTGATGTTAATGAATTTCCCTTCTATTCCTATCTGACTGAAATGAAAGGGGAAATGATGCTCAGGCGATACAGATTTTGTTACAAATTAGTAAGGCGCTTATGTCCGGAGAAGTCTCTGATCTCAGCAGTGATTGGGGTGTAGAGGCCCTGTTTTCATTCCTGCAGTTATACAGGCACCTGCCATACAGTAGTAGCAGGCACTAGCTGGGATGCCAGCTTCCCATTAAACCTCAAAGGCAGAAATATAGGCAATAGCTGTTCCACAGGTGAGGAAAGGGTAAAGAATTATCTAGGATCCCACTGACAACGTTAACTCAATGCCCTTCAGTCGGAACCCACTCACCTGGGTTTTGGGAAAGTCATGGGAGGAGTTGGGGTATTGGAGGGTATAAATGTCACGGTTGAGATGATTGCCCATCTTTCTCTTATGGAGAGACTGGTAGATTGGAAATGCCAGAAAGGCTCTGGATATGGGTGGGCAGCACAACTCCCTACGGACTACGTCATCAGAGCTCCTATGAACAGCAATTTAAAATGTTAGGTAGGAAGCTGAGGGATGAGTGAGTCTATGTCTATGGGAGGCGCAATTTGGGAAAAGGATGAGAATGGTCACACAATTTGAAGAATGTTATTAATAGCACTGACTTAGATATGTAGAAATTGTGGAATTGGTCTGTTTCCCTGTTTATTTTCAACATTTTTAAAAGAAAAACCGACAAAACAAGCAAAGAACACCTGGCCACTTGGCATCATTCCTAGCAATGTCTATTTGTCTTCCTTCCATCCTTTAAAATACCAACTCAGCTGGGGGCCTTATTGGTACACAGCTGTGATCTACAAGAAAAGCCAGTCGAAAATACTTCCTCTTCTTGGGTCAAACTGCCCTGCACGTGCTCTACTTAGAGTTTTTTTGAGGGTGAGGAGATTGGGCAGTTCTGAGGCTGTAATTGCCCATCACTCTCCTGCAGAGCTGAGGCTGTAAATTGCTCCTCACTCTCCTGCACAGCGGCTGGTGGTCTCTTGTTAGCAATCCCAATGCCCTAAGGATACCATCAGCAGGACTCCTTAGTCAAACAAGCAGGTTCATCTCACTGAAGAGGTAGAAAGCTCACTGAGGACAAGAGCTATACACATTGTAAACTGGTTTCCAAGCAATGTATAAAGCCACGGAGGGCCGCGCCCCCCGGGGCATCCTTCACAGCTGGCACAGCTGGCACAGCTGGACCCGCCACGAAGTCGGGCAGCCAGCGCTGCAGCCGCGCCCCTCCATCCGCTCCTCCCCTCCCCCGCGCGGCCAGGAGGGCGGTGCAAAGCAAGCGGATTCCAGCTCTCAGGGTCCCAGCCCGAGGCCAGCCTGGCTCGGAGCCTGCGCCCGCTTTCCGCCCCTCCTGCGCGCTCAGAGATGAATCGGGTCCTCGCTCTGGAAGGCGAAGGTTCAGGATTCTGGGAGCGCGGACCAGGGCGCAGCTCGGAGGCAGCTCGGGGCGGATTGGGGCGCCAGGCCGGGTGGAGTGCTGGTGCTTTGCATCTCCAGACGGTTAGAGGGTGGATTACAGGCGGCGCGTGAGAGCCGTCGGCGGGCGGGCGGGCGGAGGTGCGCCGTGGGCAGAGGCGCTGCCGGAAGCGCCCGAGGCCTGGCGGCTGGCTGGGCTCTGAGCGCCATGGAGGGAAGAGACGGGGCGGCGCCCGGCGGGGTAGCCCCGCTCGGTCACCTCGCGCTGGTGGCGGAGGCCTCGCGGGGCGGGGCGCCGGGCCCTCTGCCCTTTCGATGCCGGGACCGCCCCCTCCCAGGACTGGGCCAGCGGCGGCGAGGTGAGCGGGAGCGGCGTCCGGAGCCTGAGCGGCAGCATGAGAGCGGGCGCCGCTCCTCCCCGTGTGCGGACGCGCGGCGAGCTGCGCTGCCTGCCGGCTCCATGGGGCTGTCGTGGCGCCCGCTGCGCGCGCCGCGAGGGCTCAGGGGGCTGCCCCGTGCAGCCTCAGCGCTGGTGGCCGCTGGCCTGCTGGGCACTGCGCTGGTCGCCTACGCCTGCTGGGGGCAGCTGCCGCCCCTGCCCTGGGTGTCTCGGGCGTCGCCACGGCCGGTGGGCGTGCTGCTGTGGTGGGAGCCTTTCGGGGGGCGTGGAGACGCCCGGAAGCCGCCCCCCGACTGCTGGCTGCGCTTTAACATAAGTGGCTGCCGCCTGCTCACCAACCGCTCGGCTTACGGGGAGGCGCAGGCTGTGCTGTTCCACCACCGTGACCTGGTGAAGGGGTCCCCCGACTGGCCCCCGCCCTGGAGCCCCCAGAGGCATACAGCGGAGGAGCTGGAGTTGCAAGTATTGGACGACGAGGAGGAAGCGGCGTCCAGAGCTCTGCATTTCTCGGCCCCCAGGCCACCTGGCCAGCGCTGGATATGGATGAACTTTGAGTCGCCCACCCATACCCCTGGTCTGCGAAACTTGGCCGGCAACCTTTTCAACTGGACACTCTCCTACCGGGCCGACTCAGACGTCTTCGTGCCTTATGGCTACCTCTACCCCAGGAGTCACCCCAGCGACCAGCCTCCGGGCCTGGGACCGCCGCTGGCCAGGAAGCAGGGGCTGGTGGCTTGGGTGGTGAGCCACTGGGACGAGCGCCAGGCCCGTGTGCGCTACTACCACCAGCTGAACCAGTATGTGCCCATCGACGTGTTCGGCAAGGGCGGCCCTGGGAGGCCTCTGCCCGACAGTGGGCTCCTGCACACCGTGGCTCGCTACAAGTTCTACTTGGCCTTCGAGAACTCCCAACACCTGGATTATATCACGGAAAAGCTCTGGCGAAATGCACTGCTGGCAGGGACGGTGCCGGTGGTGCTGGGTCCAAAACGTGCCAACTACGAACGCTTTGTGCCCCGTGGTGCCTTCATCCACGTGGATGACTTCCCCAGTGTAGCCTCCCTGGCCGCCTATCTGCTCTTCCTGGACCGCAACCCGGCCGTCTATCGCCGCTACTTCCACTGGCGCCGGAGCTACGCTGTTCACATCACCTCCTTCTGGGACGAACCGTGCTGCCGGGCCTGCCAGGCGGTGCAGGTAGCTGGAAACCAGCCCACGAGCGTACAAAACTTGGCCCACTGGTTTGAGCAATGAGCTTATCAAGCCAAGTCTTCAGCTTTTGATCCTTTGTGTGCATCTCCCTGACTTCTGAATCATGGGACTAGGTTCTCCAAACACCCAGTTTGTGACATGGAGCAAGTCACCCTCTAATGTTCTACAGCACAAGAACAGGTGGGAAGGGCCCTGGGCTGTCATGGTTTTTTGCACAGCTGGGAGTTGGGCTCCCCTGCTGTTGTTAGGAATTGGTGTTAAGGAGTGGCGAGTGCTCATCGAGTGCTCATCGCTCATCTTCAGGAGTGTGCAAAGAGGAAATGGTGTAACTATAAGAAGCGGTGTCTTCTCTCTCTACACTTGTGAACTGTGTTTCCAGATACCATCCACATTGCTCCCCAAATCCCTGAACCAACGTGAAGCAAATATCTGGTTTTAGAGAGAACCTTATTGCTGAATAAACGGGATGGTGGCCACAACTCTATGGTGGTTGCATTCTTCAGTACCTCAGCTCCTGAAGAAAGCAGCTCAAGAAGCCATTGTTGATTTTTTGTTCCCTGAAACATGACTAGAAACAGTATACTGGATTGTCCTCAAAGAGGAGTTAACACGTAGGAGTACCTCACTTTCACAAGAAATGTATTCCTGAAAAGCTGCATTTAAATCAAATCCCAGTTAAATGACCCAAGATAGTCGAATATTTAAAGGAGCCCTATGGAGAAACCCTTTACAATGTGAATAATCATCTAATTCATTTCTTTTGTACTTTCTGATTTTCTATAACTTGGACTTTAAAAAAATATGAAAATTACAGATGTGAAAATACACCTTCTGGCTTCTCAGAAACCAGCCTGTTTACAAACAGCAAAGAAGGAAGTTCAGTTGTCACTTGCCATGTTAGTTATTTGTGTCTTTACCAGACATGCTATTCTAACTGTAATGCTAGTCCTTCCTTGCAACACATTACCCTGTCTGCAGAACATTGAAAGATACAATCGCCTTTTATGAGTCATGCAAAAGGAAAACAAGGTTCCTTGGGGTCTATTAGTGGCAGTTTTAATGTTTCTGGGAGGTTTTAGTTAAATGGGTAATTCCTAGGGAATGGAACAAAATTAGTGCCTACAATTAACTTCTCTGTTGATGAATCCTTAATTCTCCCTGCTACAGCAGGTTTTCCCCACTCTAGAATAGGACAGCACACCATATCCTCATATTTTTACATCTTTGAGACAGTGCTATGGGGCCAACCTTGAAAATATAGCTGTTAATTTTAAATATTCATGAATGAGTAAAATGTTTAATGGTCTACTCCGTGCCAAACACTGGAAAGATAGAAAAATGTCAAGGTCTCTTTCTTTAAGGTACTTATAGTCAGCCCCTTCCAAGAATCAGAGAGCTCTGATAAAGTGGATGACAGAACTTGTTTGTTTAAAGTGGCACTATTCATTATGCAAACCATAAATTAAGACGAGTGAATCAATTACTAGTAAGACCACTGATTTACAATCTTAATGTTCATTTGTGTTTTCTCCCTCCTTTCTTTAATTTATGATGAGAAGATCCTCTGTGACTAATAATTGTGGGTAGTGTTCAAGATTAATTTGTCTTAAACAGAATTCTACTGTAAACTTTGATTTTACACTTGATTAGAAGAGTTTGTCTTAAAGGATTATCTGTGCATTTGTTGCAGTCCTTCTTGCTTAATTAAATGAAAAGCTCATGTGCCTCAGTTTTCTCTCTCCCTTAAAAGGAGAAATAAAATCTGTGAATAAAATGCTCCTCATTGGAGTATATTAGTGTGGGCAGAATCACAATAAACATATATCAGCTGTCTAATAAAGATGAGGTTCTATTCATAAAATAAATATTCATGAGAGTCTAGTAATTTATTTTGGTGTCATTGGAAATATATAGAGAACAACGGAAGAGGGGATGGGAAGGAAATTTAGTTTCAAATAAAGTCCATGTGTTTGATTTGGGGCAAAATAGTTGCTCAGAGACTCATTCTCTTCATGTATAAAATTAACTCTCTCATTGCTGAGTCAGAGCCATGTCACAGATGAGCTGCCAGCAGGTTTCTGAGTCTGTAAGTCATCCAGGGAGGAGATTGCTGGTTTTTCTCTCTTGGAGCCACTGGTAGATTTAAACCAGAGGAGAGCTGCCTTTGGGTTAGCAGCACAACTACACCATCAGGCTCCCTCAGAGGAAAAATTTTGACAACGCATTGAACATTGTAGGAAATAAAATACAGAAAAGTGTGTAACACATAGCACTCAATTTCTGCCCTCTCCCTAATTCTTTCCTGGGGATTTGAGGTTTTTCTAATATCTGTATATAGGCATAAAACAACAATCTCAATGTATGTTGCAGCAAATAAAAAGGAAGGCCCATCATCATTTCAGACCCCAGCTTCTCAATTGAGTCCCTAAACATAAAGCACATATTGCAAGAATCATGACTGTCATTGAAATGGAATTTGCTGACTAAGAGGAAACCCTCCGTGAAAGAGATAGACACAGTGACAGCAGCGATGGAGGGAGGCGCAGTAGAGATTGTGAGTATGAACAGGATTTTGTTCTGTTGTACACAGAACCACTATGAGCCAGAGCTGACTCGATGGCACCTAGCAACAGCAACATGCTTCCTTTGAGGGGAAAACCAAATTCTTTTTGTTATGTTATATCTGGGAGCTGAACAGTGAAAAAGGATCACAGAAGAATTGAAACCTTTTAAGTTGTGATGTTGGAGAAGAGTACTGACAAAAGAACAGGTATGTCTTGCAGAAAGTGCCAGCCAGAATGTTCCTTGGAGGGGAGGGTAATGAAGTTCATCTCACAATACTTTGGATGTGTTAGGAGAGGCTGCTTCTTGCAGAAAGGCATGATACTTGGAAAGGTGGAGGATTAGGGAAAGAGGAAAACCTTTGACTGCAATGAACCCAAGTATGTCTGTGACAATGAGGATGACTCAGTATAGGACAGGGTTCAAATCTGCTGTTCATAGGGTTACTATGAGTCATGCTTGATTCAGCAGCATCAAAAAGAGTCAAATAGGGAGCTCAGAAGGTATAGTCTGTAGTGAGTTGTGCTGCTAACTCCAAGGCTCTGGTTCACAGTAACTCAGAGAAAGATGGGTACTCTCCTCCCATTGCAGTTTCTAGCCCTGAAAACCCGCTGGAGCGTTTCAATGAGCTAGAATCAACTACAGGCAATGAAAGTGGATGAAATATAGGCAAGTAAACTGTATAAACAACAAGAATACAGAAATCTTCCATGGGCAAATAGGCAACATGATGGACGGAGAGAAGACCGAAATTGTCAATGATTTCATCTTTTTTGGGTTCATGATCAGCATCTTTGATGCCAGCACTTATGAAGTCAAAAGTTGTGTTGCATTGGGAAAATCTGCTATAAAAGACCTCCGCAAAGTATCCTTTTCAGTCACTTGCTATGCATCTGAAAATTGGACAATGAGTACAGATGACTAACTGACAGAAGAAGAATCTATACCTGTGAGTGGTGTTGGAGAACAGTACCAAGTATCCCATGGACTGCAAAAAGAACAAGCAAATCTGTCTTGGAAGTGCAACCAGGATGCTCCTTAGAGGCAAGGATGGTGAAACTGTCTCACATACTTTGGTCCAGTTGTTAGAAGGGGCCAGTGCTTAGAAAAAGACATTATGCTTGGAAAAGTGAAGGGTCAGCGAAAGAGAGGAAGACCTCTGTAAGGTGGATTGACACAGTGGCTTTAGCAATGGGCACGAGCATGTCAGAGATGATGAGGAAGCACAAGATGGGGTAAAGTTCAGTTCCATCAATTCTATTGTTCAAAGGGTTGCTTTGAGTCATAGTTGACAGCAGCTATAATATTCATTTTACTTGCCACTGGCTTTCTTAATATTAAAAACTCAATGCTATTGAGCCAGAACCAATCACAGATGACCTTTCATTGGATTGCTGAAGCTACAGATTGCAAGGGAAGAGCTGGCTCATCTTTCCCCCCTGGTGGCTGGCTGGTGGTTTGAGCTGTCAAAAGGCGTGGTTTGATGGTTAGTGGCAAACTCACTACAGACTAGACTGTCAGAAGGTCCTACTTAGAGTTAAAGCTCACTATGTATTTAGTCATGGCACAGGTAAGCAGGCCTCTGGTGGTGTCTGCTCAAAGGCTGGCTCTGGCCCCAGGGTATGAACAGAGCAAGGGAACAAACACTGGCTTACAATCAGAACAGGTGTGTGTAAGGGTGTATGCTTTTTTCTATACCTTTTCAACCTGTATGTAGAACAAATCAAGAAGCTAGATTTTATGAAAAAGAATATGTGACATCAGGACAGGAGGAATATTTATCAACAATCTGCATTATTCTCACCACCAGACCAATAGGCACCATCCTTGCAGATGGAGAAAAGATATTGTCAACAATTTCATCCTGTTTGGGTCCACAATCATCACCCTTGATGCCCGCACTTAAAAAGTCAAGACATGTTGCATTGAGAAAATCTACTGTAAAAGACCTCTCCAAAGTGTAAGGGAGCAACAATATCAATTTAAAGACTAAGGTGAACCTGATTCAAACCATGGGCCTTGGCCTTTTCAACCTCTTGAAATTCAATCAAAAATTGGACAATGACTAAAGATGACAGAATAAGAATCAATAGAGCTTGTCAATGAGTTCTGCTTGTTGGGGTCTACAATCAAACACCCTTGGCACTTGTCAGCAGGAAATCAAAAGAAAGTCTGTATTTGGAAAGTGTGCTATCAGAGACCTTACTTAAGTGCTGAAGAGCAAAGATGTCAGTTTGAAGATTAAGGTGTGCCTGAGTCAAGCCATAGTCTTTTCAGTCACTTGTTATGCTTCTGAAAGTTGGACAATGAATAACGATGATAGAAGAATTGATGCCTTTGATTTGTGGTGTTGGAAAAAGGTCCATGGGATACACGGAGTGCCAAGAAGACAAGTATGTTTTAGAAAAGGTGCAGCTAGAGTGCCCCTTGGAGGCAAGGATAGTGAAACTTTGTCTCTTATACTTTCAACATGTTATTAG